ATAAAGATGGCGGGCAAAGATTCCAGAAGGAAGAGGAAGAAGCACAGGCTCAAAAGCATGCCATATGGGCCCATGAAGAGGGGCTCCTTGCCCTGTATTCTTTCCAGGGACACTTAGTTCATATGCTCTGATCAAATCAGATACAGAAATAAATTATACTTTTTAGAAAAAAAAACTATAGTCACAACAGTTAGCATAAAGGGGTTGAAATAATTTTATTGGATAACTTTTAGTTACAGAAAATACTGCCATCGTTGATGATACTGACAACTCTACAAGAGAACTTTTTGCCATGATAAAAATGTTTTTATCTTTGCCATCCAGAAGGACAGCTATGGGCTATTGAACACTTTGAAAAGTAAATATGTGACTGAGAAAATTTTAATTTATCAGCATTTAAAATTCAAAAAAATTACTGGGTGCTATAGCATACACCTGTAATCCCAGCAGCTTGGGAGGCTGTCACAAGCAATTATCATTGGCACAGTCTGAGGCGCAGTTAGATTCAATCAAACCTATTTTATTGATGCTCATCACACTTCAGACACACATCCTAATCTTAAGTCCCGAGTCTACACCCAAGGGTTCCAGGTGCTCACCTGTGACTTGTCTTAAGTCCAGGTCCCTGGAAATCGATCCTGGCCAGAGGAGTCTTGTGCAGGGGGGAAAACAGCAACAGAGATCTCGGTCTTTCTGTCCAGCTCCTGTTAGTCCCATCTCCCCCCAGAAGTCTGGGTTTTTAAGTCCTAGTTCAGTTGTGCTTGCAGCTGATATCTGGGTAAGGTCTGGGGTGTATGCCCCAGGAGCAGACTCTTACATCACTAACTTAAGTCTAAGTTTTGCAGTTTATCTAAGTTCTGTAGTTCACATTACACTTACATCACATTATACTTATATCACATTACACATTACAATAGGCACACTGCTATAGTCATTTACTCATTCACTCAACACACACACCAATTAATATAATCAACAGTGAATAATCCTATAATATTTCTGGTACTCACATCAGAGGCTGAAGCAGGAAGATCACAAGCTCAAAGCCAGCCTCAGCAACTGAGCAGAGGCTCTAAGAAACTTGGCAAAACCCTGTTTCAAAAAATAAAAAGGTCTGGGATGTGGCTCATTGGTTAAGGCCTCCATGTCCAATAGCTGGTACAAAAAAGAATGTTTTTAAAAAACTAATTAAAAGAATTATTTTTTTGGGGGGTGGGTGGGTGCTAGGAATTGAACCCAGGACCTCATGGATGCTAGGCAAACACTCTACCATTGAAACACATCCCCATCCCTAATTCAAGAAATTTAAATGAAACTCAATGATTCTGAATGTCCTCAAAGTTTAATCCACTTTAAATTTAAATAGTCTCCCATGGGTAGTGATTATCTCCTTGGATGGATGTTGTGTGATTCATACACAAGTTTTGTTTAGAGTAAAAGATATATAGGCTTTGGGGGGTCTCTTGGACCAGCCTTTCAATCCTCTAATACTAACCCTGTGCCCCTGGATATTTTACTCAACTTCTCTGGGTCTGAATTTCTTGTTCATAAAATGAACATTATAATATTTATGTTCAGGGCCCTTGTGAAAACTAAAAATGAAGCATGTGAATTGCCTAGCACAGACTAAGGATTTAATAAATGGCAGCTATTAGTAGTAAATGGTATAGATCAGTATTCATGAAGATAACTTAGTTATTTGGATTCCTCTGATCCTCAGCCTGACTGCTTGCAGTAAACTGTGAAACAAGCAACAGGAGATAACCCCCAGGGGCTGTTGCCAGGGGTGGAGTGGCCTCTGGGTCTAGCCACTGACAATGCTTCCCAGTTAGCAATTCTCTTATCAGCCTTACTGTGAGCTGTGCTTTTTCCTTCAGTGTGATTGCTTCTAGCAAATCCTCCTACTCCTATGCATTCCTCTCCTTACTGCTTTTTCTATAACCATGGAAGAACCGGAGGCTGTAAGGGAAAAAGACAAATGGAGATTGTTCAATCAATAACTTTAATTTTACATACAATTCTAAGTAAATGGAGCCGATCTGAGGACTGAGGGTTTCTTAAGTCTTTTTTCTGTGGGAAGAAGAGCACAGATTGCCAGACCTTATTTACCTTAACCCTGACCAATTGCTGCAATCTCTTGGGATAAGTTTTGTTTTTTGTTTTTTTTTAAATACAAATGCCTATTCCTCCTCCCCCAACCTGGAGACCTGACCCTGTTGGAGCACTCCAGGTGATTCTGTCCTTGTTTGAAAATCACTAGGTTATGCCATGATTCCAGAGGGGTTGTTCTGGACAGACAGGGCTATATGACCTCTAGTTTACTTAGAGATCTTGTACCATGCTTGGGCAAGCAAACAGCTCAGACAATACAGGGATCCAATCCATAAGCTTTGGGGGAAATCTGAATGTTTTGGCTGAAATTCCCCCTGGGGAATCAGAGCCAATCATTGGAGCAAGTGCCACTCAGAACTGGGCTCAGAACCAGAATGTATTTTTTCTTTCCTTTTCCTCTTAAGCTGCCCTGTCATGATTCCAGAGATGGTTCACTTCTTTGTATTCTCCTTTTGTGGAGCTCATATCTGTTTATGATGAATTATTATTCAGTTCATGAGCTTTTATACATTTGAAATTTCACGAGTGGTTGACAGACACTTACCCAATTGGAGAAAGACTCTTGAAAACTTTATCTCCTATTTTTTCAATATCACATTTTCCCATAAGAAACAACTCCAGCAATTAGAGGTTATGACGAATACATTATCTTCATGTCCTTCAGCCCATTCCCACAGGGGGACTAGGGCCACTATTCACAGTGACCTGTGAGTAATGTCTAATTAACATACTGGTTAGTGTATGGATGATTGTTTGGGTACTAATCAACTACTATTATATACTTTTAGAGAAAAAAAAATCTCTGTGAGACAAAAGAATTCCAAGCATAGGCCAATGGCCCACTTCTGAACAATTCTTAGCACAAGAAAATTCCAGTAGAAAACAATTTAATTTCAAGAGTGCCTTGAAGTTTTGTCTGTAAAAGAAAAACTATACAATGTCAGCAAACAATGGGGACTATAACAACAAGTTTTGTTGGAATAACTGACGGAAAAATTTTACTGGGATGTTCTGGTTTAGGTATCTTACTGTTTTCTCTCTGGTTCTATAACTGCATTTTAATTGACTTTGGTTTTGGAGAGGGCAATATGGGGATATTAAACCCACGCTGGACAGTAATAATGACCTAAATGAGAACCTTAATCCTATTAAAAGGTAGGGCTTCTTGTTATATACTTTATCAAGAAGTAACTTAGGTAATAAAAAGCTAGAACTCATTGGCTACATTACTGACCCTCAAAGAATGGATCATAGGGGGAATCTTTTTTTAATTTTAAAAGTGAATATTTTGAAAGAAGTCTACCCCCAAATAGTGCGAGGAAGAAATAAAATGTATTGGAGTACTTCTGCAGAAGTCAAAGAATTTTGATTGGTTTGGAAGATGGCTGCCTGGAGAGGGGTCACTGATGTCATCAAGACTTCTGCCTTTACCACACAAGGAGCTTTCTTTCTGGTTTGGCTTTGTTTTCTAGAAGGCTACTTGAGCTACAGAGGGCTTATAAGGCATGATCTCAGGTACTGCCATATCAGTCAGGAAAAAGAACCCCATTTTTCCTAATTAGATTATGTGTCCTTCCCTTTTCCCATCTCTGTATCCAGAGGATGTGATATAATTTAATTGGCAGGTCTGGGTCACATGCCACTGAAATGGCAGGGAGATTTGTGTTTTGGACATACCCAATGGAAGAAGCAATTCCCAGCAGGAAGGAGTTGGGGCAAAGAAGTTTCTTTTAAAAGTCGACTTTGGAGGGAGTAAAGCTGGTTACATTTGCTATGGCAATGATGGAAAATAACTTCATTCCATTGTGACATGAACTTTGAACTTCTGAAGTAAATGGAGACCACAACATAATCTGTGATCACAAGGAATGTATTAGTATGACAAAGGGAAGTGCCATATAAAGCTTAGAATCACATCACTACTTAAAATGGCACTCTTGTAAATAACCAAAATTTAATACAGAGTTTTATTTATTTGTTAATTTCTGAGTTTTATTTATCTGTTAATTTCTGAACTGGAATGAAACAAAAGCCACTTGATTTAAGTATGGCTTTTCTGAAAAAAATGAGATGAATGTCACCATATTTCACATATACTAAAGGTGAAAAATATCTTTTCTAAATATTATTGAGAAGAAATCATATTTGGTGAATCCTTACCTTGTTCAGATTCAATCATTTTTATGAACATGGAATTCATCTTAGAGTTCCCAGTAGCAAAAACAAAACTAAGTGAGTCAGTTTAGCTTTCCCAAAACAACTCTGTGCCCCAGAGAAAACCAACCATGTTATTAAGCAAATAAAAAAAACTAAATATATTAAGCAAGTAATACATTGAGATGAATATGATGCGCCCCTCCCCCCTCACATTTACTTAACTTTGAAACATCAGCTGGTCCACACTCCAGAGGCAGTACCTCACCTTTGAGATTTTTCTAAATTCTTTATTATTTTCTCCAAATATTTACTTAATACTAAAACACCCATCTGAGTCTGTGAAAGATAGGAAAAAGATCAAGAGTCTGTGGACTACCTGATGAAATTATGACATTTGCAACCAGGCTCTAGTCGCTAGTAGTGACTGGTCTGAACTAGAGTGGCAAGCTCAGATCCAGAGGATCTTTCATCAGGGTAGAAGGTGGAGGGCAGGTGCTGGTTTGGCAAGGAGGATGGGATTCGGGATAGGGGAAAGAGGAGTCGGGATGGAAGTGGGCGGGGAGAAACAGGAGCCGGAGTGGGGGTGCGGGAGGGGGTGGGGACCGGGCAGGTGGGGTTGGGGCGGGACGGGGGCGGAGCGCTCTGGGGGCGTGCACGCTAGCTCAGGGACACGCGCTCTGGGCCACAGCAACTAGCTCCAAGTTCCCTCCCTCGCTCACCAGCAAAGCCTGCCTGAGCCCTCCCACTCAGTGCAGAGCGAACGGTCGCTGCAGTCGCCAGACTAACCCTCCGCGGCCGCTAGTCCAGGGCCCGCTCCGGAGCCCGCTCCGCCCGGTTGCCCCGGGGCAGCGGCGGCGGCGGCGGCGGCTAGAATTCGGCGGCCCAGCAGCTCGCGCTCGGCCCGCCTTCCCTTGCGGGTCCCGACTCTCCCTCCTCATCTCTCTCGGGGTCCTGGAGCCGAGCTCGGCCCGCACCTCCCGGGGCCGGTAGCGCGGCCGAGGTAAGACTGGGCCGTGGGTGACTGCTGGGGGGACTGCCGGTCGGAGTCCGGGATTCGGGTCCCGCGGCCCCCGCCGCGCGGCGACTGCGGACAATGCCGAAGCCTCCGCGGCCGGGCGGCGCGCGCGAAGTGGGTGTGCGCCCGTGTCTCCGCGCCCTGCGTGGGGCGGTCTACCCCGGCCTGGGGGCCTCCATGGTCCAGTGGACCCTGGTGTCGCTCCGGGCCGCCTGGTGAGGCGCTCCGCCCCTGCCCGTCTGGCGCCCCCTCTGCGCTGGGCTGCTCGTCCTGGGCTCCGTGAGGAGGCCGGGCACGGCGCCGGGGCCCGGCAGCGGCCGAGTGGAGTCTGGCCGCGCTGCGAAACCGAGGTGGGCTAGGAAAGCGCGCCTGCAGCTTGCTGCTGGGGGAGTGGTCCTCAGGGACGGGACCTCCCTCGACCCCCCATGCTTGGTGGCCCATCTTCGTGCTAAATAAATACTTTCCGGGTATCGGTACGTCCTGATCCCTGGCTGGGAGTTATTTCAAGAAATGCAGATCCTGAGGCTCTGAAAGTTTATTTTTGATTACCCTTCCTGTCCCTCCCGTGGTCTCAATTGTCTCTACTTTCTTTGAAAGCATGCAGATTGGAAATTGAATTAAATGCTCCTTGGCTCACTCGTGCGCCCATAACCCAGCGGAGCACATAACTTGGCAACAAAGCCGCGTGCAGGCTATGGGAAGCCCGGGTGCCCGCCTGCCCAGCCTGGGTGCCCCCCTTTTGTTACAACAGGAGCCGCACACTGTAAATGGCAGTGACAGGTTACCCCCCCAGCCCTCCAGACTGGCTAGAGAAGAAGGAAATGAGAGAGAACTTTGCTGTGTGCTTAAATTACTCTGGAAAGTGGAAAGAAAACACCTGGTGCCCGGATTTTTAACCCCTTCAGGTTGTTGTTCCGATTCACAACAAAAATGAGCAGGCTTTCTTTCCTGCCTGAAATTCAGGCGAACTCTGGGTTTTCCTCACAGCCAAGTTCCGTCCTGTGCAAAATCTGGCACACATCTGTGACAACATTGCATGGCTGGCCTTGTGAGGACTGCTAAATAGTCTGTTTTTGCAAAGAGGAATATGATAGTAGAATCAGCATTTTTGCAGTATGAGCAGTATGACTTCCATTTTCTTCATTTCCCCTGTTGGTGTGGGGAGATATTTATTTAGCGTTTCCTTCCTACTTTACTCTTAGAGTCATTCCCTAGGAAGATACCTGTGGTGATTTTTTTTTTTTTTTGTCCTCATTTTGTGACTTTGAGACCCCTGGCCATTCAAATGAGTTACCAAGCGTAGTTATTTTAACACAAAGATGTTTAGGGTGAACCGGAATTCTTTAATGATCGATCGTATCTCATTGATTTAACTTATAGGTATTGGTATTGTGATAGGTTGCATACCATAAAATCAGTCACTAAGAGAGCAGAGAGGTGATGATGTGATGCTTGTGAACCTGATAATCCGTCAAGGGCCTTCTCACAGTGCCTGGTATATAGTGCTAGTGTCAGCTTGTATTATTTTTGTTTTTAAAAATCATGGTCCAGTTTAGGCCCGCAGTTAATTTTAGTTCAGTATTGAATTATTGTTTTGCTTAATACTGACAAGCTGCTCTGTGTATTCTTAATGCCCGGTGTGGGTTAATTTGGTGCCTCTTATGTATCCCACCATAGGGATAAGACAACAGTTCTGAACTCTGTCATATCTTGGTTCATTTCATAATGAGAATTGCTTATGCTTAAAGGGTCTAATTGTCCAAGCAGAGGCCTAGACATTTGGGAAAACCTGGGGCTCTGAACCCTATCCCCAAGTCATCCTTTTTTTTTCCTCTCTAGCTTTAGAATAACATTTCCAATTCCTAATTGAAAGAACAGTGTTGGTGTAAGCAGTTAGGTAACTTCCACTCTTAGAAGATGATAAAAGATAAATATGTTTACTATATAAACATCTACCATCGCATGTAATTTCTTATTTGTGCTTTAAAATCTTCAGAGCTGCATTTATATTATTGTCTAAATAGCTAAGAAAAATTAAAACTATTTACTTGCTGCTTGTCAATAACTGAGACAGTGTTTATAATTTAGATATTTTATAAGATATCTTATTTTGAGCCCTGTCCCATCACTTGACTTTGAAGTGACATCTTATTCATTTCCTAAATAACTTATTTAGCAAAACCAGTGCTTTGCATTAACTCTCAGGGTCCCGCAGAACCTAAGCTGCTGTAGGCACAGTGGTATGGCAGTAGGTGGTGCTGTGGATAATGCTGATGGCCTCCATACAGGTAAGTGGAATTGGAGGGATTAATTGAGCAATTCCATTGCTTGTCCCTGCCTTTTATTATATAGATATCATCCTACTTTTTTTTAAATAAAATCTTTTTTTTTAAGTTTGCTTTTTGTATTTTCAGCTTTTTAAGATACTTCCTTGCCCCAGTTATTTCTTTCTGAAAGCTATAGTATTCTAGGTTTTAGAATAAACGTTGCTGTTAAAATTAGACAACTATACCCTTATTTTTATTTTGCCATCCTTGCTAACCTGAATTCACGCCCTACGTGTACTTAAACTTTTAACAGAGACTAATAAATTAATTTAAGAAAACAAAACTTCCTAGGGTTATTTCCTTTCCCCCGCTCCCCTTCCTGATTTTTACCGTTTTCTTGGCTCCTGATGTGAGGCAAAGGGAATTGATGTTCAGGATGAAGACTGTGAAACTTTGCAAAGTCATGACTCATCTGAAAAAAAAAAAAATTAATTCTACGCAGTGCAAGACACTAAGACTAGAAAATGGATATGTACACTCAGAAAAGGGGTTTTCTAGTTAATAATAAGTTACCCTCAATGGCTGGGTCTGTCTGGGAACTGCACGTCGCTGTAGGCAGTTAGTGCATCTCTAGGCAGCTGACAATGGGTTTGTTCTCTTTACCCCGCCAAAGCCTAGCAGTTACTGTTATCTGCTTAAGTGACTTGTCTGAGTCACATAGCTCAGAAGTAGCAGGGTGTATTTGTCTCCAGAGCCCAAGGATCTCTCCACCGAACCATGAGGAATAGTTTCTGCCTTGTACACTCAGCTGCTGGAAGTATCTGCTGCCTTCTTTTGGGGTTTGGCATCAACAGTGTTCTGGGTAGCATTTGTTCATCAAAGGGTCCCAAGTAGGAGAAATGAAGCTGTTTTTATTTTCAGAGGAAACCTCGAAAGATTTCAGCCTACCTTGTTTAAAGGTTGTTTGTTTTTGGAGAGCTGAAGGAAGAATGGCCTAGATTAGCTTCTTTCAACTGTGTGAAGGCCAATAAAAATGGCTTAGATGTTGAAGTCAGGCATTACCTTGTGGCTTCTGGCTTTGTTGCTCAGGTGGTCTAGGAGCAGTCACAGCTCTCCTCCACCCAGTAACTAACTTTCCCTTGGGTCAGAGAAGGTTTATTCATTAGGCTCAGTGAATAAACCATAGCACTGTGCCTTAAGTACATCAGAAGGGATTATGATTAAGCCTTCCATCAAATCTCCCTTCTATATTGTCTTTTAAAATTTTTTTAATTTTATACTTTAGGCAGAGCCTAATTTAATTTTTCAAAAAATGCTGGCATTTTTTGAGTTGAAAACTTTATAGAAATACCAAAGCAGTGATATTTGAAAATCGTTAAGAAGAGCAAACAAATTGTACCCAAAATGTGTCTCCAAGAAGCTAAATGCAGCATTGATTCTGGACTTTGGGAGGGAAAGTAATGGGGTGATTTCTATGGGCAATTTTGGAAATAGTTGTAGGAAATTTAGTTTTTCATTGTAGGTAAATGTCATCATCCAAATGAGCGGCTGCAGATAATTAAGATAAAGGCCAAGATTCTCCACTGCTCCAGAATCATTTTTCTTCTTCTTTTTAGACAACATGGGTTTGTTTGTGAATGACCCTTTTGTAATATAAAATTAATGAACCTGAATCATGCATATGAGGAAAAGGGACTAAGAGGGACTTTATGTTTTTAACATTTTGGAGTTTGTCTCACAAGGAGAATCACCTAAGATCCTCCATTCAGAGACATATGAGACTTGGTTTTGATTTTGATCATTATTTTCTTTAAGGAAATCTTAGTAAATGAAGCAGATTCCTTGCTTTTTCTAGACTGGTTGGTGATAAAAATAATGAACGTGAATGATTAAGCAATTTTAGACAGATACTAAAACTGGGATTTTGAACATTGTAAATACTTTAGAGACAAGTTCAAAGGTCAATACCTAAGTAAAAGGAAGATGAATGTCATTTGGCAGACAGACTTCTGCAAGAATTGATAGAATTATGCAGTACGTTTTACGCATCAAGCCAAGATCAATGGGCTTTGAAATTGCGGTTCCAGATAAGGACTTTGAAAGTTCAGTTCACAAGCATGTGGGAATTTTTGAGTGCCTATGTTGTAATTCAAGGCATTTTTTCCCCCTCATAACCCCCTGGAAATTTGTTTCATCTTTTTTTTTTTTTTTTAAAGGAGGAATTACAGATATTCTTCAAAATGATCATTCTTGCCAGTGATTTCTTTTTGTCCTATTAACAGGAACTTAATATAAGAAAGTAATTATGCAAAAGAATGTGGCTTAGTAATTTCTTCTATTACGATGGTTATATTAAAAAGAAATTTCTGAAGGGCTTATTGTGTGTCAGGTACTTTGTATAAATAGTAGCCAGGGAAGATATAGTCCTTCCTTCTTTGGGGCTTTCTAGTGTAAAGTGGGAATGTAGATAATTAATTATATGAATAAATAAAATGCTAATTTAAATCAGTAATAAGTGCAGACAAGAATGGGAGCCATTTTCCCCTTTGAGCTGGGTAGTCTGGGAAGGCTTAATGGAGGACTTTAGAGCTAAGAGTGAATTAAAAAGAAGGCAACATTTGGGAGGTCTCTGGGCATAAAATGTGGCTTATACAAAGGCCCTGTGGCAGGCAGAATCTGTTTTTGTGAGGAACAAAAGATAGCAGCAAAAGAACCAGG